AATTTTAAAATCCTAAATTTGCTCATTCATTGACTGTTAGGCCGAAGAATGTTCGCCGGGTCCGCTAGTTATAAATGAAAAACTAGGATTTTGAATTCCTCCAAATGGGAGAGAAGGAAGCGGTAGCTTCAAGAATATAAAAATAAAAAAAGTATTTTATTGAAACTGGGAAATGTTATTGATAATTCTGTTTCTTCTATATTAGACGTTATTGTTGAAAGTTTTGAAGAGTCTGGACTGGTGATTCTAGGAAACAAATACAGGGTCATTGTTGTGAATTGCACAATGTCGAAAACGCTTCGATAGCAGTTGATGAATGAAACAGAATTTCAGCAATGAAATACCCATTAAAGTTTTATTTACGAATTTATATGTGAAGTTATCAAAAAATTCATGAAATAAAAGAACTGTACTTCAACTATGGAAATCAAATTGGCTGAAAAGCAAATAACAAGTTGAACGCTGATTGCTATCTTAATTCAATATTTATGAATTGTTCATTCTAATAGATATTTCTGTTCATTCAATTCTGATGAAGTCTACTGACAGTTTCACAATAATGTCCATAAAATTTATATAGAATCCAGTTGTCGTATTTTGTCAACTACAGAAAAAATTCAGACAAGTGAATTACAATGATGCTATGGACAATCAAGGGTTGAAAATACGCGCAGTACACGTGATTTGAATTGAGTTAATATTGTTATTGATGTGGAATTTTCAGAAGATTTCACTATATCTAAATAAACGTAAATATTTAACATATTGGGAAATCAGTCACTGAAACATTGATAGCAATCAACACCTGTTTCGTTTTATGCTTCATAGTTTATTTTATTTTCGTTCTCGTGTTACAGTTCACTGAACTGATCTTTTTTACTTATGGGTATTCATCTCACACAATAAACTTACCGAATGCTCCTAGTCGATAATTCATTGTCACTACAATAATATTGTGATCCACTAGATATTTTGGTCCAAATGATGAAAACCAGCCATTTCCAAAGAGGAATTTTCCTCCATGTATGAAGACAAAAACTGGTAACGAGTCAATACTTCCAGGTTTCTGAAACAACAAAATACATAACAAATTTGAAAATATGGAATGTTGAATATATCAAAAAGGGAATTAACAATTGACACTATCAGTCAGTCATTTCTAAACTTAACTATGTCAGCTATCTATTCAGAAACATGATGTCAGTTTTGACGAAGAAACAATTGATGAAATTGATTTGATGTAACGCTGGTTTCTTTCGTGCCTTTAGTTGTAGGTATATATTTTTTCAAAACTCATCAAATTTCAACCTTGCCGTGTTTGTTCATATTTGAAGTGTCTATTTTCGTTCTTTGTGATCCAAATTATTCCAAAACTAATTAACAAATTGACGCTATTGATACATGTGCCATTTTCGAAGACTATGGTTTTATTTAGGTCATCCATTGTGACTGGGTAGAGTTTGTTCAATAAACTTTTGGCTAAAATTAAATCATTAAATCAATTTTTGAAAGCAATCAAGCAATGTCATAGAAATTATAATACCTTTCGAAATATGGATTTCACACCTGAAAAGGGATCCAGTCTTAGTTTTAATTCTGTTTTTTCAGTTAATTTTCTACTGTTTTTTTGGAAATATCTATAGTAGTTTATGCATGTCACTAAGAAAATGAAGTATCATTATTATTATGCTATGTTGAAGATATTGACATTATATCCTAGGATTGTGAAGCATTCGTCAGGAGCTTCAAAAAGATGTGTCACGACACCCTCTTTCCATTTTTTTTTTTCAGATGATGCCCAGTCGGTGAGTTGACTCGTTAAAAAAATAAAAGAGGTGGACATTAAAGAAATGCACTGTATGACATAGTGCTCAGGTTTGACTAGTCTGATAAAATTGTATAAGTGCCATGTAATGTAAAGCAATTGTGAAATTTTCATTGACGAACAAATTCTATTCTATTATATATTTCATTGAATCCTTACCACTGGTGTGTATACATTCAAATACAAACAGTCTTCTGATTGTGTATTCCCAAGGTGATTGATAGATCCATCAAGAAATTGCATATTTGCCATGCATTCTTTGACATTATCTGTTGTATTCAATATACCCTTCCAGGATCTGGGTGGTTTTGGAACCTGAAAACCAGAACAACATTCGTTGATTATGACATAGTTTATATATTCATTGAGTGTATTTGGAACGTAGGTGAACATTCATTATCAAAATTCTGTCGAATAGTTTTTCATGATATTGCACCTACGCTACGAGCGTAGCGAGTTGACCAATTTCACGAACAAAATAAAATAACACAAATATCTGTTGAATTAGATTTCATTAAGTGATTATGTTTTGTCCTTGTTTATTTATGTTCTATTGATTAAAAAAAATCATGTATAGTTGCTATAAATAAAGTTAATGTTTATTCTGTAGTTGAAATCCGCCCAGAATATTATCTTTCATATAAAAAGTACTCTGTGTTGAATTAGTTTCTACAACAGGTTATGGGCCCAGAGTACCTTGCTCTGCATATCTGAAGAAAGTATAAAGTATTTTCTGCATTTTCTACGAAAATAATAAGCTGCATTATTATTCTGACATTGACAACTCAATTGCTGAACATGGCTCAAACTGAGACTGCAAGAATTGTGAAGTTCGATGGTACCAATTTTCAGTTGTGGAAATTCAGTGTTTCCATTGTGTTGAGAGCCAATGAGTTGATGGATATAGTAACCGAAAAAAAAACCTGCCTCAAGTACCTCAAATGCTGATGAAGTGAAGAAATGGGAGAAGAAAAATAACCAAGCTATGGCTATATTTCTATCATCTATCAATGAAGATCAGTTAAATTGTCTAGTTAACTGCCAAACTACCGATGAGATGTGGAAGAAACTGATTATGGTACTCGAGCAAAAGACTGAAGTATCAAAACATATGTATCAGAAATTCTTCGAGCTTAATATGTCCAAAACTCAAAGTATTGCCAATTTCATTGCCGAAGTTGAATCCATAGTAAAGCAGTTGAAAGATATGGGTGAAGATATATCAGATTTTGCTGTTATTTCAAAAATCATCCGCCCAAATTTGCAATGCTAGTGACTGCATGGGATTCAGTTGATTCCTGTAAACACACTCTCTCAGATCTCATAGCTAAACTTCTGGAAGAGGAGCAGAAGTTATCTGTTTCAGATAACAAGAATCACAGTCTTGCACTCCAAATACAATCCATGAAAATACGTCACAATCCGAAAAATTCCACTAGAAAATCAAACATCCAAGAATTGAAACAGAAAACGAAATGCGGATGTTGCAAGCAGTTAAGTCATTGGTGGAGAGAGTGTCCGAGCCGAAAAAAAAAGGAATTTGATAAATCCCGTTCAATCAGCGAACTTTCCAAAAAAGTTCTCATTTGTGATCTACCAACTGATGTAGAAGAAAATGAAGAAGACATATGGTTGGCTGATACTGGCACAAGTGCACATATGTCATTTAGAAAAGAATGGTTTCACAACCTGAAAATAGTTTCAGATGAAATTTCTGTTCGAGTTGCAGACAATAAACTCGTAAAAGAGACAGCTATTGGTGATATCAACGTGAAAGTAAATATTGATGGTGTTTAGAAGGACAAGGTAATCGCAGACGTCCTATTCATACCAGAGCTGAGGAGAAATTTGTTATCTATCGGAAAAATAACTGACAAAGGTTTCGTTATGACTGCTCAAAGAGACAGATGTGAATTTCGCAATGCTGCTGGTGAACTATCCTGTGTGGGTTTGAAACGAGGTAATATGTTCAAGATGCTCATGAAATTTGACAAAACTGAATGCAATAATGTATTAACAAGTGATAGTCTAAAACTTTGGCATGAACAAATGGGGCACGTCAATCTGAAGTATGTGCGAGACACAATGTATATTCGAAGTATATTCGAAGATTGTATCAAAATAAATCACGAGAAATGTATCTTCAACATATACAGGGTGTCTCTTGAATGATGTCATTGATTTCAGGTGATTTCAGTATAAATAATAATATTGTTTGTTCAATAATAACTCAAAAGGGTTTTTGTCGATTTTGCTGCAAGTAGCACTGATGATGAAAAATTTTTTTCACTTTCGAATAACTAATTTTATGAATTGGTTTCAGCGATATTTATATCCCAATGCTTCATGTCATATTCGAAGTGAGGTGGAAATCACAAAAAAGGCATGAAAGGAAATAATTCAATTTTTCCCTACCTTAAATCTATTCTCGCCTGTTGGTGGTGCTGCAAACGGAATATCCTGGAACGAATAATATTCACTTCCATTAGCACTTGTGCGGGTTCGACCTCTGATTGCTCCTTTTGGGAGATGAACTACCAAACCATCTTCATTTGTCTGAAAATATAAATTTCTACTGTTTTCTCATAAATTCACTGAATGAAATGAAGGGTGAGTGAGAAGTAATATATCATTGGAATTATTACATTTTCTGAAAATGAAACCTCAATAGCGATAGGCTGAGTTGATAATAGAAATATTGTGATTATTGAAAGTGAATTGGTAATCAATATGAAAACACCTTGATCTCTGATAGTGTTAGTACTATCTAAGATAGTTTCATCGACACTGTATGCAAATTTTATCATATTGAATTCTCTGGTGAATGATACAATTTTTCATTTGAAAATATTTGACACAGTTGTGACGGCACCAGTCATTTGAAGTACTCAACTGCTGTTACAACCATTATAGTAGACATACTGCTTCCTTTGATCAAGTCATAATTTCATGAAATATATTTCATCATTCACATCAACCTGCCTCCTTGTGTTCAGTGTTACACATGAAAGTTATCAAAAAAGCCAAGTTACTAATTGTGGATCTATAATTCATGAAACCATGTTGATAATCTGAAATAACATATTTAGTTAACAGGTAAATGCGGTTGTACATAATCACCTCCAAGATCTCCGTAAAGTTACTAAGAATTAAGTAGTAGTAGTTACTTATAACGTTTCGATCCTGCGCTTTATGAATTGGACAAACTTTAGAAATACTCCAAACTTCTGAAAAATCTGCCGTCTTCAGAAAGAGACTGAAAATGATTCGTAGTGGATGTAACAATACACTCAAGTAGTTCTTTATCACGACTGAAGGTATTTCATCAGGCCCTGAATTTATCATATCTTCCGTTGTAGATAACGAACCGACACAGCACCAGATATTCATGAAATATTTCCTCTATATCATAAAACGAACGTATATATTCGAAATATTCATAGAATATTCTTGAAATATATACATGCCTTCAGAATATTCATAGAAAATAATAATTCAGTTGATATAATAATATAAAACACATATTTTGCTCATTTCAAACCGTAGTTGTATATCATTCATTTCAATGACTGCTAACGATGGCATTTCTCTTGATAACAAATTCTGTAAAATTTGTGAAGAAACCTTTAAAACAACGAAAGGTCTCAAAATTCATGATGGTAGAGTTCATAAAATTTCTGATACAGAATCCTTTCTGAATGAATCAGCTTTCACACAAGCTGTCGATTCTGTTCTGTTGCCTCATTCTAATAAAGATGCGTCATTTTATACTACGTTTCATGAAAAATTGTCCTCATTGAAACGATCCAGTCACATCATAAAAAGGATTCCCAAATCTGCAAGAAATTGCTCTGCCTCTGCCCTTTGCGAAATAACAGAAGAATGTTCACATACAAACTCTCCAAGAAGATGGGAAAACTTGTTAACTTTCCCTTATACTTTTTTCTCTATCTCAAATGCCAAGGACTCCCGTAGATCTTCTCTCGCATCTCTTATGAAGAAAAACGTCAAACTTCTTAATTCCAAGACCAATGTCATTCCATCTCAAATCGATAAAAGGAAATACAACAAAAACTTTTCTAAGCTTGTTTTGAGTAAAATAGCTGATGGTGACATTATATCAGCTATCAGCTATCAGTTCAAGTGATACGTTGGACGAATACGATGAATTCACACTTTCAGTTCTCCGATCAAAACACCCTCGATCAGATTCCTCCACACATTCTCTGGATTCGCAACTACCACACGATTTTTCAGAGTTTCCGGTGTACCAATTTTCAGAACATGAAGTATCGGAGGCAATTAAATATTTTCGTTTCGGTTCTGCTGGTGGTTTGGATTCTTTCCACCCTAGTCACATGCAAGACCTCATTAGTCACAGCTCTGGAAATTCAAGACAGAAACTTCTTCTTCCTGTTACAAAATTATGTAACTTCATTTTTACTGGTAGGGTTTCTCCAGAAATTTGTCCTATACTTTTTGGCACTTCACTGTGTGCTCTTCGGAAAAAGGATGGAGGAGTAAGATCGACTGCCGTCGGTACCTTTTATCGTCGATTGGTAGCTAAACTTGGTTGTTTGAGGAATAAAGACGAACTAGGATCGATGTTACGTCCACTACAGTTTGGTTTCGGTACTGCAGGTGGATGTGAAGCTGTTGCTCATGCTGCTCGTAGATATATTAATCTTCATCCAAATCCCGATTCAAAAATTTTCCTGAAAATAGAATACAAAAATGCCTTCAACATGATTGATAGAAACATCATGCTTCGTAAGGTTAAAGATTCGTTTCCAGGATTATATCCCTTCTTGAGTCAGTGTTATAAATCAGCTTCCTATTTGAGTTTTGGTGAACATCTGATTCTGTCTGAGAGAGGTGATCAACAAGGTGATCACTTAGGACCTGCTCTTTTTTGTCTGACCATCAACGAACGCACTAGAAGCTTATCATCTGAATTTAATTGTTGGATTTGGACGATGGCTCAATCGCTGGCGATGAAAACAGTGTTTCAAAGGATTCAGAAAAAATCATTGATTATTCAAAACATCTTGGACTTGAACTGAATTTTGAAAAATGCGAGTTGATTACTCTTCCAACTCTGAATAATATTTCCGAATCCATTTTGAAATTGGCTCCTGGCATAAGAATTTTGGAAAAGTCTAAATGGAGTCTTCTGGGTGCTCCTCTCTCTGATGATTCACTTTCAGAACATCTTCGAGAAAAACGGGAATCACTCAAATTGCTGACCACCAGATTGAATGAACTTCCAAAACACGTTGCATTTTTTCTTTTGAAATATTGTTTGGCGATTCAAAAATTCATGTACGCCCTCAGATGTTCCCCCACTTGGTCATGTCAGTTAGAGCTTGACGAATTTGATAATTTACTCCACCACAAGATGGAATATGTTAGAAACAATCATTTCAATAATGATTCCTGTAAACCTTGGCGGCATAGGACTACGTTCGGCTTCTTCCTTAGCTTTACCAGCTTTTCTGTCATCAGTCAATAGTGTTTCCGATCTTATCGATTCCATCCTTTCTTCCATATTTATCAATATCACAGACGATTTTTATTCTGAAGGTGAATCACTTTGGCATACTGCAACTAATATTGCTCCTTCTACAGGTGTATGGGACCGACCTCTTCTGAACATTATAACTGATAAACTTCTGAAATCTACAATATCGTGTACTACCGTGTATACGATAAGGCTCGTCTGAAAGCAGCAATGATCAAGGAATCGGGTGTTGGCTGAATGCTTTACCTGTTGCATCTCTTGGAACACTATCAGACGATGAATATTTCAGAATAGCAGTAGGACTTAGGATGGGCTCATCTGTTTGTGTTTATCATACTTGTGTTTGCGGTAGTATAGTTGATGAAAAAGGTACACATGGTTTGAGTTGCAGGAGAATTGCAGGGCGTACATCTCGACCTCACCAAGTGAACGACATATTGAAACCAGCTATGTTGTCAGCGGATGTTCCTGCAATTCTGGAACCCTTAGGTACCAGTCGAGATGATGGTGAACGACCAGATGGTATGTCTCTCATACCATGGAAAAGTTCCAAGTCTGCTGGAACTTCAGCATTGTCTGGCGAGAAATTGAAAAGGAAGAAATACCAAAATCTTGGAAACAACTATCTGTTTCATCCAGTAGCGGTTGAAACTTTTGGTGTTTATGGCCCGGAGTCTCTGTTACTCGTTCATGAACTCGGAAGGAGAATAGGCCAAGCAACGAAAGATCACCGTTCTAACACTTTTTGATAGAAAGAATTAGTATTGCTATTCAACGTTGCAATGCTGCTTCAGTACTTGGAACTATTCCTACCTTCACATAATTTTGATGAGATCATGCATTACCCTAATTTCAGTACGGAACTGAAACCTCTTCGAAACAAGCCAAAATAAGTGAATATTCATCAGTCTCCTATCAAGGTTAATTCACAAGTAATTGATCCACCTTCTTCTTTTTCAGTGCGGACAGTGAACTCAGGTCATTTTTGCCCCCCAAAAATGAGTTAAAGTCCTCGTAGAACTGGTTCCCTTTCAGTGGAAGAGCTTCGTGAAGCAAGAACCGAATCGATCCTTGTACGAAACCCTTCTTCACTTGGAAGGATCGATCGCAGCTTGTGAAATGGTTCTTATGGAGATTCTGTCAAACATGTTCTTCCTTACGAATCAGTAGATAGTTGTCCTGAAAATCTAGAGCAGAACATTGGATTGGATAATTTAGAAAACACTTGCTACATGAATAGCATTTTACAAGTGTTGTTCATGACGAAGAATTTCAAGAACGAAGGTTTAATGATGAACGAGAACGGGAATATTTCCTACTTATTCATCAAACTCAAACACCTGTTCATGCAGCTGCAGTTTCGTAAGAAGGTATTATCTTTCCCTCCAACCGATTTCCTGGAGTCTTTGGAGTCCACTAGACACTTGTTAGGACAACAAGAGAATTGTTCTGAATTCTCAATTCACAATAGTACAATCAATACCTCTGACCGCTCTGGACCGTACAGCCCATCTCGTCTTGTGTTTGTAAATCTTTCGCTGGAAAAATCTTCACTTGATTACTTCGTTCAAGAAGTACTGAAAACTTATGTGAATTTCCGGAACTTCATCTAGCTTTTCCTAATATGACTGATAACAAGTCCGTGCAAAGCTTATTGTTAAATCATCTGAAAATGGAATATTTAACAGGTGATGACCGACTGTATTGTCGAACATGCGCCAAACTAACTGACTGTTATAAGGAAACAAGTATAGCTGAGGCACCAGTCAATCTAATATTAACACTGATGATTTTCAAACAAGACTCAACTTCTAACGTAAGCAAGAAACTCTTTGGAAAGTTCGAAATAGATGAACATTTCAACCTAGCAGACCACTATTATAATATTCATGAAATCATTGTTCACTGTAGTTCTGGCGTTGAATTTGGTCATTATTACGCCTTGGTCAAAAAAGAAACGGGCTGGTTTAAGTTTGACGATAGTCGTGTCCCGAAGTGTTCTGGCGATGCATTGAATTCATTGGAGCCTCTGGAG